CCGCTCCTCTGGAGAAAGAAGAGGCTTTCTACACCCATATAGAATTATAGTCTTAGGAACTCACAGGGACAGTTCTACCCTGTCCTATAGGGTCGCTGTGTATCAGAATTGGCTCAGCGGCAGTGAGTTTTTCAGCCAGAGAGCTAAGTGTGTTTTATACTGCTTTTGAAAGCAATAAAAACTGTAGATTTGAACCTCACCTCTACAAAGTATAGAGCACTGGCTCACTGTTAAACCTACTCTGCAGTCTGAGAGTAGAACCCTCTCCATAGCTGCTAGGAGTTCGCAGGTTCCAAGGGATTCAAGAGCCCTCTGAGTCTTTCAACCCCAACAATAATTCCAGCCCATGATGCCAGGGGGTTCAGGAAAAGCTCAAGTCAAATGGAACGTGTGTGGACTTTCCATTTGAGGGCAGAGAAACTTGCATGACAGCAAACTGTGTCAGTGGCTAGAAATACATGGGGAAAGGAGACAAGCATAGTAATCTACATGTGATAGCTTACATTGTCAGTTTGCTGTGCTTGTGAGACTTGTGTTGCTATCATGCTGGAATCTAGGCCCAGTATTTCAAATGTCAGCAGGGTTACCCATGGTGGACGGGTTTCACGAGAGCTTTCAGACTAAGACAGACTGTAAAGAAAAGCCTAGAGATCCACTTCCAAAAACTAGCCAATGAAAGCCTAATGGATCATGACAGAACACTGTCCAACTCATTTGCTTTGACTAGGTCTTCATGCTGCATGAAGACATTGTGTTCTGGTAAAGTAGGTGGCCAACAAGGGTGAGGAACAGCCTTGAAATAGATTGGCACAATAACTGGAACACTGGACTCGAACATGGTGGCAAACCCAAGGGTGAAGCACGGCCAGGCAATCTTTCGCTATGTTATGCAACTCACCATGAGTTGAAGTTAACGCAATGCCAGCTACCTCTCAATCACCACCCACAGCCAAGTCGTTTTCACTTGAGTGCCTCTGTTTAGCCAAGTCCCTCTCATCCACTGGACACAGAGAAATATCAACACATTTATATTCCACGCTCTTTGCATGACACTATGCATTCATAACAACTGTCTGCATCAGAATCAGGCAGGTTCTCATGGTCAGTCCTAGTTATTGAATATCAGGTGAACTATGCATTCCAATCTCTATGGACAATTAGTCCCAGCAAATTCAGAGTCTGTTGAGTTATTTTGGACCTTAACAACAAGAGTACACCATGAGACAGGGCACACATTGCTGAGGTTGTCCTGTAATGATGGAGTGAGAAGTGAACGGAGTCAAGGATTGTTTCTGGCCTGACAAACCATCAGTGGCTGTGTTCCTGAAGATTTCACTGTGCTTCTATCATATCAATATATGTTCTATAGTTTCCTCACAAGCAAACAGGGCCAAGCAGCCCCCGTTGGCCTATCATCAGGCTAAGGGATCAAAAAGATGCCCTCTTTCTCTGTCACGGGACAGTGTTGTCCATGGAAAACCACTATGTTTATTATAGGGGCAGTGATTGGGGTCCCTCCTATGTGACAAAAATATGATTGTCCTTGAGGGTCAATTGGGGCATCTTTTGGGGAAAAAGATCATCAGTGTGCCTGTTAGTACAAACATCAACAACTGAAGTGCCCATGTGGTGGTTTATGCCTCTGGGCTCTTTGACTATGAACTGAAACAGAGCTCTGCCACTCTTGCTGCTCTGGGCGTTGGCAGCATCCCTCCAAAAAACATGGAGGCCTATAAGAAATCCGCACCATCTTGCTCCTAATTCCGACATGGGAAAAGACTCGTAGTAAATTCTATCTTGTTTTGGGGTTCTTATTTTACTCTCTACTTCCAAATCTGTGATTTGATGGATCTGAAACCATTATTAAAATGCTAACTCCCCTTTTATTGACTTGATAGGTTACATATTTAAAGGTTAAACCATCCTTGTCAAAAGACTGGTCATATGTTCCAATTAACACTTTGTTAATATTGAATAAACCAAGAATTCAACTTCTGAATTCTTTCCATTCAATAAAAAAAGAAGTATACAAGCATTGTGCAATGATACATTTTTTTTATTAGAAATGTCAGGTGCAGGGTTTGCCTTACCCCTAAAGATCCTATCAGAACAGGGACTAATGGAAATCTCTTTTTCAATATTTAGGTCATTGCTAACAGACCAGTTAAATGGCCCAAAGATATGGTTCAATTTCCCTGTTGCATTTAGGACAGGCTTTCAGTGTGAGCCTTAGATGTTTCTCTGCAAGCTCCCGACAGCCAGACTGGAAACCTAGAGCCAGTGCTTAGTGCCACTGGCCCATCTTATTGCCAGACCCACCACTTCCTACAGCTCATTCTCATTAGAGGTCAACCTGACTCAGAGGACTCCAGCAATAATTCTCCCCAAACCCCACCCAGTCAACCCAAGAGTACATGATGTCCAAATGTGGGGAGGAGGAGAAAGGGAGCCGGGAGGTGGTGAGGTGGAGGTGAAAGTGAAGCAAGAAACATTGTGCTAAATTTTCAACAGAAAGGTCACCTTTCCCCAGCCTCCTCCTCGTGCCAGCTAGAACCCCCAGTTTCAACCACTGGCATGAGGAAGATTGGCATCGGAAGACTGATGTGTGTATAGGTTATTTTGATTAAAAAGTGGATTCCA